ATACAGTGTATAGTTTTAGAATGTACCAAGCAGAATCCGAATGGAAGTTATGTATTATATTAAGAGTTATAATTTTTAAGATATAAAGGCGTCATACCCCAATTAGTAATTACAGGAGAAATTTTGTTTAATGAGAAAAGATAATAGACAATTGAAACAGCAGACAAAAAATATAAGTACAATGATTTAAATTGAGATGAAATAAATAAAATAAAACTAAGAAAATTAAAAGAGGGGAGAAGCTATGTAGAAAATGTAAAATAGTAATAAGATATGGAATAGAATATAAAAATGAGCATGAATCTGAATTTGTGTCTGTACGAAGAAATGTAACCTGGGATTATGCTGCTTTCAAAAAAGATGTTTTACTTGCCCTTTTGTAAAAACTCAAATAAAACTTACAAAAAAAAGTGATAAACTCAGATTTGATGATTAAAGAAAAAAAAGACACATACCTGACTGAAAATAATATAGCAAACAGCTACCATCTATTTTGCTCTTGTTTGCTGTGACACTTGCAGGTTGTGAAAATAGTTTCCCCCTTAAGACCAATGTGCTATTGGTTAATCTATTGCCAGATTTTGCTATATGTGCTTTGCAGCAAATTAGACTGAATTTTGTGCAACTGTAAAATTGCAAATCAAGCCCCAGAGTTTTGGCCCATCTTTATTCATCATATTTTACTTCTTCAGTCAACATTATTACTGGTTAATAGGTGCACCTGTAAATCAAGCTGCATTGTGTACTTGATATGTTATGTTAAGTGAATCTTTTCTAGGGCAGCAAGTCTATTTTTTCTAATGAAGAAGAATATCTCATCTTTCCCAATTTTCCTATCAAACACAACTACATCATCTTGAGGCAGCATCACATCCAGCTGCATCAATGCTCTGCTTCAATTATATGAAATTACCCAAACTCCTCTGGGGTCCTTTAGGTTTTCTTTGCTATACGAGACGCCTTCATGTACATCTCTTGTGAAGTGCATGATTACAAACTATTCAACACAAGCCTGTTTTAAGTAAACAGTAAATTAAATATTGTCAGAGCTTCTTCAAGCTTGCATCTATGAAAGGAAGTCTTTAAAAAAGGTTTCATGGAAAGGAATGCTTTAAGAAAAGTAGCTGCACTAAGATGCCAGGCTTTTCCCTTATTTGGAAATGCTTGATCTAGTTTATATTTTTGGCTTGGGATAATTTTCATCTAGGTTTCAGCTTGATTTGCTTAATAGTATTAAAGTTATTTAAATATATTACATAACTTGATTTATAAAAGCAAAAAGCTTCAATTCCTAAAATAGAGACATTCATTATTTCATTCTGTGTGAGAAATTCAGTACTACAAAATACAAAAATAGCACTGCACAACTTTAAGGAGTAGCTTTTGTATATCTCTATCTCTATCTCTATCTATCTATCTATCATCTATCTATCTATCTATCTATCTATCTATCTATCTATCTATCTATCTATCTATCTATCTATCTATCTAGAAACTCCCTATTTATTTAACTCCTAAGAACTATTAAAAGTAGGATATGTAGTACAGCTGTTTTGTTATTCCTATGCATCGAGCAATACAAAAACTAATTTTCTGTTATATGTTTCCTCTCATCTATCAGTTGCTTCAGTTGAGCTAAGGGAACTGGTGATGATAAATGCAACTATATATGGCATATGTAAGACTACATAAGATATTTAATAATAATCTTCCATAAAATGCATCTTACCTGTTCATGAAGCTCTGCAAAGAAAGCCCTCCTCCAGCATTGTAGACCTGTGTTGAACAGAGACAGATATCCTCTAATATTTCATTTAACTGAGCAATGCTGTGAGAAACAACTTGAGAATTATTGGGCAGTTGATTCAGAGGCAATGTCTATAATACATCAAGTCATATTTTTTTTTGGATTAAGCTATGTGAAGATGACATTTCTGAATGAAGTTTCTCTCTTGTACATTCATGTCATTTTACACGGAAGCATTTTAATGGCTATGCCTTAAACCATTACAAAAGAAAACTGGCAAATATGATGTATTTATGCATGCAAGCATTCATGTTATGATGATCTAAATTAAATCATAATGTGGTTTCTACAAAACACAAATTACCTGTAATTAAATTATCATAAAGTGCCACCAATTTGGTCATTTTCTATCACAGAACTATTTTAACTAGTCACTAAGTCATATCTAAATGCTGAGCTCACATCAACAATGGTAGCAGTTTCATACTGCATAGTTTACTTAATGAAGAATCAGTGTGGCAAATGAGAGCCAATCACCAATATTGGTAATATTTGCAACTTGTAACTGGTGTTCTGGTGAATACATGGGCTTGTACTTTTCTTGGGAAATTTTTTTAGAAATGAATTGCTATTTCTTTCTAAGGCTGAAAGAATGATGATTTGCCTTAAATCATACAGTTGGCTTCATTCTCAAGGCTGGATTAGAATTTATAGTCCATAGGTTCTAGCCAAGAGTTATAACCAAGCTGATTCTCGGTCTAAACATAACATCTTCCAACTTTATTTCGTCTTATATTTATTAAATCCATATTTAAGCTTATAGTTCCTTCTTTATGGTACAGTTAATAGTTAACTCAAATATGCTATGATTATTTTTAGTTCATTGTAACAACTATGAGCGTAATCATAGTTCTCAGTTAAATCCTTCCTTCCTTTGTGGAGGAAGACTGATGCGACTTCATAATAATGACCAGACTTTCCTAAAAATCCCATTGAGCATGAAATGAAGTGCAACTGCACTATGTATTGAAGTATTGAAGTATCTGTCTTCTTAACAATTTGGATATAGGACCTACTTTAATTCAAATTATAACCAGGTAAGATGGATAACCTCTTTTTTATTTGCTGATTATCACCTATAAAGTGTCTATGGCATGAAGCTTAGTTATCTGAGGAATCAGTTATCTCCTGTGGTTTCTTTCTCACTGATGGACAGAGTTGGCACACTCTGGATCTCCCACATTAAACCATGTCATCTTTTGGGATTCATTAAATGCACCTTCTCTGTTATAGTTTCTGTCTTCTGGTATAAGGCAGTCCCTGAGATCCCATCTTAAAGGCATTATGGGGGGCCTTAAAGATAGTGGGTTCTCCAAAGCTTTGTTATAGGGTATATGGAATTTCTCTTGCTCAAGAGTTTTGACATGTGTTGTATATGTTTGGATGTGAGTTGTCCAAACTACTGTTACTTTAATGTTGTTTTAGTATTTTATTTTACTTTGCTTTTATATTGTGAGTTGTCCAGAGTAACCAGGTGGCATTAAAATCAAATTGATTAAATTAAATGAATAATTATGAAAAGTAACTAGACGCTATTAGAAATATGCAAAAAATAGGTTTGACAGGAAGTAGATCATCATAGGATTTACCAGCATCAGGCATTAAACCATAAGTTTTGGCTTCTTCATATACAAAGGGGAGTGGGGAGAATAACACAAGAACTGATTTGGCATATAAATAACTAAACTATGGGATATAAAAAGCTGTGAGAAAGAGCAATTATCAGGCAATTCAGGCTAAAGGGACTGTAAGTTACAGTTAATATTATACATGGTTAAAAGGTACAACTCCAGGACCTTTTCCCAGATTATATATTTTAAAGGTATACTTTACTATCTCAGATGTCATGGATGAAATCAGAAGGTGAGATTCAGTGGAACCATTTGTAACTGACAAATATAGTCATGTACCATTCTGTTCCGTCTAATTTCCCAGCAAATTTGTAGCTGCTGACATATGGCTCTTGTATGTATTGACATATTTTTCTTTGCAACTTATTTGACTGCTCACAAAATTCATTACTATACACATTAATTACAGCATATTGGTTACCAATTGGAAATAATCTTTTGGAAAGGTTTCTCACCAAGAATACAGAATTATACCATAGACTTTTAAAATATTCAGTTAATTATTGCTTGATGGCAGTTGAAATCAGAGCTCTAGGACTGACTTCTGCTCTTTCTCTAACCTATATTTAATAGCATATTCAGGTTTGCTCTTTAGAATCAAGAAAAGAATCCTGGACATTTTAGCCTTCTCAATTTATATCACAAAAAAAGGGATATTCCTGAAGACATGGGCAGAGTAATTAGAAAAAAAATGAAATTGCTTGAACTACATTTGTAATCATAAGTGGCTTCAGAGAGTGGCTTTGTTAGGCCTAACATTTTAATAGATTGTGAGGAAAGCTAAGTAGATGAAGGAATACGGGTCCAAATTCTCCCCTTGACTGAGTGCTGTAAATATATAAAAAGAAGTAAATTGTATTCCATTTGTATTAAAAAAAAACCAAAATCAAATAAAAGTAGGTTTTATTTGCAGAGATTACATTTTGACTTTGTAAGTAGTTATTTGCACATAATTGTTGTGGTTCATTGTGTTGCTATGGGTGATTATAAAAATGTAATTTAGTATTTTCCAGAATAAATACAATAGTTGCAGACTGCTTTTGCAAAAGAGCAATCTTAGTTACTTTAGCTATAAACACAGTGGAGATCTTACACAAATCTTCATACAATCATAGTATGAAGAAAAAGAAGTTGCAGTAGATTAATTATATTGATTTGTTCCAATATTTTGTATTAATACATTTTAATATATACTGCATTTATTTAAATTGTTCTTTCACCAGTATTTGAAATACATCTGAAAAAGATAGCTGCAACAGTATATTTTATAGTACACTATTATTCTAGAGCTAGCCTAGGGCTCTGGTTTTTCATAAAAGTTAATGAATTTCTAGATTTGTCAGCTGTTTCAACCAGATGCACTTTGGTAATTTAATGGAAATATTTTCAATTCAATTCCAATTCAATAGCTTTTAGTATTGAAAATTAATTTAGATATTGGACATATAGCATAGTGGTTTTTGATAACAATAGTAAATATTTTAACACACATGCTTTATATTAAAAATGTATCCATACCATTTGATACTTAAATATAAAAACATCTCCCTTTCTTTTTGCAGAGTTTTAAACTGAATGTAGACAGCCACTGTGCATTAAAGGAAGCTGTTACAGAAGAAGGATGTCAACTTCTCGATCTTATAGTATCTCACAAATCAGGTAGATTCTTCTGAAATATTGCAAGTCTTTATGTCTCCAGACTATTAAAGAATAAAGAAGCATTGCTGTAAATTACCGCATATATTTGCTTCCTTATGTATTATTAATATTTACATTATCACTTTGACCTTCAAGATTTATAAATGTTTCATATACTGCATACAATGCTGTGATACTTATAAAATGAAATACTGCTAGCAAATAGTCTGTTCATTTTATTTTGGTCTTGCTGTTGAACTGACTTTCAATTGAAATTACATCACTGAAAACTTCACGTTGACATGTTCTTTGATGTAAGTGCTACGGAAATATCATTAAGATGATAAATTGGGATTTTATATCTATGCATACGTATATTTTTACATAGTTAGCATGAATAATTGCATCGATGAAGTTCCTTTGCTATTTAAACTAATTCTTACTGCAATTTTAAAGTCTTTATTAAGAAATATTAGAAGTGATGATTTTGGACAGTTTTGCATACAATTTTCAATACAAGCCTGGATAAGTTAGGAATCTTTTTGTCATAGTTCTTGACCGTCTGGATTTAATCAAAACACTCTGTATTGCTAAAAATTGTTAGCATTATTTTGGCTGATTTTTTTTCTTTTGTTTTTTTCCTCAATAAGATGAAGGATCTGGAAGATTTTTCAGTGGTTCTTTTGTATTTTGTTATCAACCTGGCCATCTAGAATGTAAAATAGCACCACCCTCCAGGTTCAGTTGACCTGCATGAGTTTCTGGAGCTTGTAAAACCATACCACGGTCTCATAAACTGACCATATAAGTAATTATTTGTCCTTAAAGATGAGCAACAACAAATATCTGCTGTTTAATATCTGTAAACAGAAGAAAATAGGATGGTATTTTTTTTTACTGTTCTATATGAATCTGAGATTGAATATTATTTTCCTTTGCTGACTTCAGCCACTGCTGTCTGTATATGTCATGTTTTGATCCTATAGCATTGTTTGCAGTGCCTGTTAGAACTCCTGATCTGATGTCTCTGTAGTAAAGAATGCCAGAGTATTTAAGGCAAAAGGATTTTTATTTCCCCTAAGATTCCTTGCCTTTAACAAATAAGGTTCTTCAAATGATAACGTGGAATGTAGGACTTAATTTCTTTCTCTCATTTTTTGGAGAAGGACTGAAGGACATGCTGCAGATGATTGCAAGTCAGTGGAAGGAACTACAGAAACAAATCAAACGACAACACAGCTGGATTCTTAGGGCTCTGCGTATCATCAAAGCAGAGATACTGGCTACTGATGTGTCTGCAACGGATGAGGAAGGGACTGAGAGCCCCAAGGTAAGTGGCTTGAAGTTTGTCTTATTTCCTCTTATTTCAGCCTCCTTTTGAACTAGGCATCACTGAAGTCTTCTTTCCACCCTAAGGCTTTTCATTTCTACTGGGTAAAATTTTTACAAACAAAATAAAATGTGTCTTTCTGAAACAATATCCATTCTAAAAGGCTGAAACTTTTTACATCTTTTAGACAAACTTCTCTGGGTGGAAATTTAGTAGGGGCAGGGAAAGGGATGTAAAATATTTAGTAAACAAAACATACAGTATCTTTAACATGAATAATCAGAATGGTTTTAAATTGTTTTGTTGCAACTATAAATCACCATAATCAGTGCAATCACTCAGCTCTGACATCCATTAGCCGCTTGGTTACAGCAAATTAACAAAGAAGAGAGAAAGTGATTCATTATCTCATTCCTGTTAATGACTATCAGATGCATTGCCTAATTAGGGGATGGCCATTGCAGTGGGGAGAAGGTCATATGCTTTGCCACAAATCTTTTTTGCTAGGAATTTAAGCCTTTCACAATGGTGCATGTGTTGAATACATATCAATAATATATTGATATCTAAATCTATTTTTGAGGACTTCTCTGGGGACAATGAAAGCCACCTTCCCCTTATTCCTATAGGAATATGTTGATGGAGGAAATAGAAAACCTGCTGCTAGATGAATTGTATTGCATTTTCTTTCTTCCCCCCCCTAAAAGAGTAGAGGAAAAGTGATATAATTCCAGGGAAACACATATTATTAAAAGACGTTAAAATATTGTGGAAATGTTGAAAGTGTTGATGCTGGGATTGTGACCTTGGACCATCACTATGATGTCACAGACACTATCCAATAGCTAAATACAGCAAGAAAAGTTTGCATGCAGAAAGTTCTAAGGGAGGGGATTAATATTATGTTCCATATCAGTTGATCAGTTTTATAGTTAGGTAATGCCATCAAGACTGGGTTGTATTGATAATTAATATTATATAAACCAACATATTGACCGTTTAATAGTTCACTGATTCCTCCAAACATTAGAGTGGATTTGATAATACACAGGAGAGGAGAGAGGAATTCCATTCTTCTAAATAGTGTAATTTTGTCAGATAGACAGATATCAATGAATTCTACCCTTAGATTCTGATTTCTGTGTATCCTTTTGGTGGCAGGATTCTGCTTCTAAGAAGCTTAAGGTGTCTGTCTGTCTGTCTGTCTGTCTGTCTGTCTGTCTGTCTCTGTCTCTATCTCTATCTCTATCTCTATCCCTGTTGAGAGTATATTTTGGCCTTTTAATGGCATGTTAAGTTCAAAACTGAAAAAAAAAAAAAAAAGAGCTGGAACACACCACTTTCCTAATGGACAACCAGGGGGAAAATGAAAAATATGAAAAATTACTTGGAAGCTGTTGATATATTTTATCCTGATTGAATTAATAATTTCATATTTATTTAAGTATTTATTTACTGAATTGTCTGTGCTGCTGCAGTCATAAAATAGGTACATAAGAAAAGAAGTATAAAAGCTTTGTAGGGAATTTATAAAACCTTCATGATAAAGGAAGAATAATAATCAAAAGCAACAATTTATCTAAAAAGGGAGCAACACCCAAAGAAAATTCCTAAGATGGGGCATTTAATGACTGATTTTTAAAGCCCTGCATAATGGCTCTGCTTCAAGGTCTGAGCCATTTGAATTTCCATTGAAGAGGGATCACCCAGATTTCATGGAGGTAAGGAATCAAAAAAGTTTTTCTTAGGATGCACATATTGTACATATTGTTCTAGTTGGAGTAGGTGGGCCTGCAAGAATTTCAGTGCCAAACCATTTGTAACTTAAGAAATGAGTTTCTATTGGTGGCTGATGCAGGGGGGTCTATGACAATTTGCCACAGCCAACTTGCCACGGCCAACTCACTGCATGACAACTTGCCATGGTCATTTTGCCACAGGACAACTCACTGCGGGACAAGAGTTTTATTAATACCAAAGAAATGGTGGAATAGAATCATTAAAGAAAGGATGCAAAAGAAGGGACAGAATGAAATGTGAATGGCAAAAATTAAAATAATTTTTATGTATTTTAAATAATTAAATAGAATTGTTAAATTGTCCCACAGCAAGTTGTCCCATGGCAAGTTAGCCATGATGTGTTGTCCTGTAGTGAATTGGCCATGATGAGTTGGCTGCAACGGGTTGGCCATGGTTGAATTGGCCACAGCAAATTGGCTGTGGCAAGTTGTCCCATTCCCAATGCAGGGTTTCCAGCAAAGGTAAAATGTGCTCTTGGAGTTAGTTGATATATGAGGCAATGCATTTTATATCAACTGCCATTTCCAGGTGGACTTTACAGGCATCCCCTTGAAGGTTCACTGCACAGTCCAGATGAGTATGATTTATCGTTGTATGATCCATCTAGGACCATACTTGTCATATGATTACATGAATTAAATGTGACAATATTTGAGCTCACACCCCAGAACAATAAAATGAAGCTAGGTCTGGGTTAAGCCCATTGAACTCCATCTGCTTTTTGTCATAATAAATCTTGATGTTTATTCAGAAGTACATCTATCTAAATTCAGCAGGAGTTAATATCCAACAATAATAAATAGAAACAGGATTTCAGCAAAAAAATGAGTAGGATGGTAAGACCCATGATAGTCTAGTTTTTATTTCTTACAGTGGTCAAATGCATGACTAAAGTGCTCATAAGCAATTCTAAGGCAACTCATTTTGGAAGAATGCTATTGCCAGACTAGGATAAGATTGAGTCTCTATGATTAAGAGAGTCTTCCATGAATGTATCCATCTAATTTTAAAGCCATCCAAAATGTTGACTGCCACTATATAATATGATAAGGAATGTTGAAAAGTATTTTCTTTTGTCAGTTTTAAATTTTCCAGTTATGTTAATTGTAGTCTTAATGTTTTGAGAGAGACACCTCCAACAAAATAACCCTTTTCCCTTTCATTTTTTCCATGCTTTTTCCATAGGCTGCCTAATTTTATGTATCTCAATTATATTTTCCTTCTATCACTTTCTTTCCAAACTAAAGAACCCCAAACTTTCTAGCTTTTTATCATGACAAAGAAGTTTGAGACCAACCTGTTGATTGTAATAAGTGTCTCTATATGCCTTTTTCTGGCTGCCTTATACTTTTTTCAAATGAGGAAACAAAACCTGTATGCTCTAGATAGAGATATACAATATATTATTTTAAGGGCATTATATATTTGACATTTTCATTGAGCTATCCATTAGGCAAGATCTTTTTCTTGAATTCTTTGATACAAATTATCTGTCTGTATATAAAATTAGAGATATTTTTTTTACATGCATCATTTTATACTAATTTAAACTGCAATTGCCATTTGGTTGACTATTCATTCAGTTTTAAGCAGTCCTTCTGGAATTCTTCCCATTTATTTTTGTTTTTACACAAATCATATATACTATTTGGGAAAACCTTTAATATTATCTGCCTATTGTTCGCCATATTGCTTACCTCTTAGTCATGATCATTTATGAACATTACATATTGTTGGGATTTCTGCTTCTAATTTCTCTCCTTTGGAAAAAAATAATCACTCATTTATTCATATTCTTTACTTTTTTATTTTTAGCAATTCATAAAAAGACAGCTCTTTCATTTTTTAAAAAAAATTACCCATTTTTTCCAATTTGCCTGGAAAACATTAAGCCTATGGATCATTCTTGGGTCTTCCCCTCCTCCACAAATGTCACATCAACTATCTCCCAGTCTGTGAATGTTCTGTCATCAGAGCTGTCCAATTTCACAATAAGGTGATTTTGCCCAATTTATAAAAAAATATAAAAAAGTATTGTACTACTACTGAGAAGTATAAACCATACAATAAAATCAAGGGATAGTTTAAAATCTACAGGTCCCAATATGTGAAAACAATCTATATGGCCAAGTAAAAGAACAAGAATTGAGCTAATTACATTTGCTTGGGGTGGATTTCTACAATCAGGTTGCTGCTGAAAAAAATGCCATAAATAAGCACTGATTATACTTTTTAAAAGACTTTGCAACAAATCTTTTGATGGAAGTACCAATTCAAGAAGGATCGACACAAGGGAGACAATATATGAACTCTTCTGGACTTTAATCATTTTGAATTCTTTAGAAGAAAGCCAGCAACAAAAAAATGAGTCTAAAAATTAATAGGAGACTAGTAATATTGTCCAAAAGTTGAAATAATGTTATGAAGAAAGTATGCTTCTGAAAGAACTCTACTAGTTGCCACATTCTATTCTTACTGCAAATTCTTAGCTCAATAGCAGCAGTACAAATACAATACAGATACATACCCATACCCATATAATCATTTGCATTGTTACAATTACAGTCATATATTACAAGAATAACTACTATTAAATACATATTGCTGTGGCCAATCTTTATTCCAAGAAATAGTAAGCATCAGCGGGCACTCTGATTGAACATGGACAAAGACACAACTGACTGTTCCTGTAATTTGATCTAGAAGCAATACAATTTTCAACAACGTCCTTGCTTTCTACTTGATTATTCAGAGAATGTATTGCTTCATCCACAGTAATTATATCACTACTCCTGAATTAGATTGTTTGCTTATCAATAGTACCGCTTCTTGACAAGACTAGACTGAGGATGTTCACTCATACTTAG